AGGGAGGGGAGGGGGGTGGAATTAACTTTATGCTGGGAAAGATACAGGTCTATTGAGATCAACCTTATGCCAACAGGGGCCAGAATAGGGCCTAGGACATATTGTGTTGTTCTGATGTTTATTTCCCTAGAAAGGAGAGACTTGGTCAGAAGGTACCACATTTGATCTGAGCCTACAGGAGGCCCATCAAATTAGTAGAGGGGTGGAGGAATGAGGCTGACTTGTCCTAATAGCATAAAATAAGAACCCCTGGCTATGTAGCATTTTTTTTTAAGCAGGTGAAGTTTATTTTGAAATGAACGAAGACAAAATATGCAGAACTACAGCGCAAATGCTCTTGCAAAACGCAGTTAAATTTAATCTATCAGAGTTTCAAGAAGTATGGCAACAAAGTGTTCCTGAAGGAATGACAACAAGGCTGGATCAGCTCAAGGTAACATTCTCTAAACCAGCTTGCTTGGTTTCATCCATTTGCAGGGTGTTACCCTTACTACTGTGTTATATAGAACTTAGATAAATCTTAGATAAAACAGCCAACTTGCTGTTTCCCACTTTATTTCAAACATATCTGCCAGGGGCTCAGAGCCAAACTCCTCCTGCGTTAGTCTTCTTATATGAGATTCTGTGAGAGAAATTGCCTAGACTCTCAATAGCTTAGTAGAGAAACTATCATGAGCAGCTCTTGGATTTTGAAAAGAGGAGTGCAAATGGTGTGCTGTGTTATATGTGATGACACAGCACACATTTGTCTTCACGTAAAGAGAAATTAGAAACTTTACTGAGGTGCTAGGGGGGCCAACACAGTTTAACATCAAACCAAAAACAAATGTAACTTTGTATACTAATTTGCATACTAATTTGTTATAAATAGTCCAAACATATTGTCTCGTTAGTTCTGTAGTCATTATAATTAAATATGTTTCTTATTCAGATTTGTAAAATAAAATCTAGCTTTCTTGAGTATCTTGACAGTGCAGCCAACACTTCACTGTCTCTCGTTTCTACACCTGAATTAAAAGAAATATATTCCCAGGAATAGCTAACAGACAGCAACACTGTAGAAGAAACTTGATTGATGGAATATCAAGATCATTAGAAAGAAGTGAGGGTCATTAACACCTGTGAAGTAAAGAGAGATTAGCAGCAGTCTGGGGCATATTATAATGAGCCATAAAGTCAACTGACTTCATCACTTCTGCCTGAATAGAAATGCCACTTCCCCTCCTGGGCAATTGGTTTTAAAATTTGGGTGGAGCATGAATTAAAGGGGGCGTGGATGCATCACTCCCCTTCCCCCTCTATCCACGTCTGGAAACTACTCTCTAGTTGTTAGTGAAGGATGGCAGGTAGGGGAGGTTGTGCAGGAGAGGTGGACTTCGCTAAAAGATGTAAACATATTTGTGGTTGGAACAAGAAGCCCAACATACTTTAGAACATTTACAATGATATTATGGTGCTGCAATCATTGGAAAAAAGTAAAAAGTGTCTTGTCTTTTTTCTTTTGTGATGACTTTCATTTCCACTTGAGTTATTTGTACTGTTCTAGGAATTAAGAATACTGGAGCTAAATACTGAATACTGGAATTTACCAGTCTGTGTCAACTGTTGCCAAGAGGAGAGATTTAATTATAGTTCTTGCATTGAATTTGTTTTTTCAATGTTCTAATAGGGCTTGGCTCTGGTTGATAGACACTCCAGACCACAGACTATTTTCCTGCTAAAAGTAGAAGATTTGCCTGAGGATAATCAGGAAAGATTCAACAGCTTATTCCACATTCAGGAAAAGTGGACAGAAGCAGATATTACTCCATACATTCAGTAAGTTTCTTTGAGACTCATTAAATGTATAAATCCCCAGGAGATGCATGGGGGGCATGTGCCCTGGATAAATGCATAAATGCTTAGGACTAGGACAAGATGAGTACTTCCAATCCAACTTGGATCTGTGATAGGCCTTTTTGTGGAGTACAGTTTCCTTATTAAGGAAAGTAACTAACATTTGTGTTGGACCTTAAATTTGCTCCTTTCCTGTAAAGGAAGAGACAGTATCTGCTGACACAGAAGAAAATCCTGGCCTGATTGAGTTCCAGTGGAAGTTTTGCAGTTTGCTAACTTTGGTGGGATTCTGCTTGTATAAAACATTTTTTAAAAGTGACATAAGCCTTTGTTCTTTTTAATAACACTTTCTCACCCTATCCACATAAACAGTCTCAGTTCTAACTGGGAGTTAATATGCAAATGAATGATCAAGTTCTTAGAAGTAAGTTCAGAGTGGTGGTTCGAAGATATGCCTGAAGACAAGGCAGTAGTGCTAAAGGAAGATGAAGGACAGCAAAACTAGAGAGCTTTAAAAACTGACCTTTAAATTCTGGAGAATATGTGTTAAATCTTAGGCAAGATTTTTCTTATGACTATTTGTATACATCACATTTTTTCCAAATTTATGAGCAGAGAGCAGCAGTTAGCTGTGTTAGTCTGAAGTCAAGCAGAAGACAGGGTAGAGATGCATGTTTATAAACCAGTGGTACCCAACCTTTCTGCCCCTTGAGCCAGATGGACAGTACCAGGTCCCACTGCAGGCCAGATCTGTACAATCGGCCCAATCCAGCTGCGGGGCGGGGGGGGTTGTGCAGCCTGACCTTGATCCATCTACTTGGTGCAGGGTGAAGCGGAGTGGCCCCAGTCCAATGCGTGGGGTAGAGGGAAGCAGCCTGGGCCCAATCTGGATGCATTGGGGGTGGGGGAGGTTGGTGTCAGAACAGCCTTGATCCAGACATATGGGGGTGGGTAGGGCAGAGCAGCTCTGAGCCTGAATATGGCAGCAGGGGTAGAAGTGGCCTGGTCCAGATGTGCAGGGTGGGGCAGGGTACAGCAGCCTTAAATTGGAGGTGTGGGAGTTGCATGGGGATGGAGCAATCCTGATCTGGATGTGTGGAGTGGGGCTGAAACAGAGCAGCCAGATCTTAACGTGGGTGAGGAGGGGAGCAGTCTGGCCTAATCTGGATGCTTGAGGGTCAGCCCAGCCTTGATCCCCTTTCACTGTAATGGTCCAGGTGAGGCTGGAGCCAGCTGCATAGAGCTTCCACTGGTCCCCGCTGCCAAGTTTTCCAACTCGTGGGGGAGCCCTATGGGCCTGATATAGTTACTTGGGCCAAATTTGGCCTGCAGGCCAGAGGTTGAGCACCCCTGTTAGACTACAGTATTGCTGCCACCCCTCCCTGCCACATCAAATCATGAGACACTCATGAAAATCAAGATGTTTGGAATGTAAATCATGAGATGCTGGTTTTGAAGGAGGGGGGGGAGTTCATGAAGTTGTGGGGGGATATGGGGGGTGTTGGAGCCCATGGGGGGGTTCCCTGCATGCATCCCTGGCAGGATGCGGGGTACTGTGGGTCAGGAGTGAGGGGCAGCAGTTGGGGCGGGGGGCGGCGTGGGGCTGTGCCTTGGCAGTGAGGGCCAGACAAACAGACACACAGAGAGAGGCAGACAGGCATGCGGGTCAGGTCACGGGTCATGCAACAGCCACGGGAGGCTCATCCAGAGACGGGTGGGGGGCATAACTCCCTGTCACTGCACCCCGCCCCCCGCCAGGGATGCGTCGGGGGCATGTGCCCTGGATTTTTGCACATGGCAGAGGCAGGCTGCCCACTTTAGGCTGGGGCTCTGTACCCCACTGCCTTTGCCCCAGGAGCTGTGTGATGCCACCAGGCGGGCAGGGGACGAGCAGCGCAGCCAGTGTCTTGCTCCAAAGGGCAAAGGCAGCAGGGTGCAGAGCCACAGCCCAAACCAAGCAGCCTGCCTCTGCCCTGCACACAGATTGGGGGGGCACGTGCCCCCATGCCTTCCCCAAGGGTGTATTCAGTGGCAAGGAGCTGTGTCCCCCACCCCTGCGCTTCTGGATGAGCTGCCCGCTGCTGTCATGCAACCCACCCTTCCCCACTCCCTCCCACACCATGGGGCCTCGATCTGTGTCTGTCACTTCCCTCTCTCTCTCGCCCCTTCCCCTTCTCAGACTTACCAGCCCAGTGCGCTGTACACGCTCCAGAGGAAAAATCCCCTGAAGGTTCTATCCTGAGATCGTGAACCAGTTAATTTGACTTGGAAATTGCAAGTCTCCTGTTTGTTTCGTGAGAGTTGGCATTACTGTAACTATATGAGAGATGCATAAGCTTTTGTGAGCCCAAGCTCACTTCATCAAGTGCTGTAAAAGGATGTGTACAGAGCAATCTATCAAATCTCTTTCTTTGATGGACTGTTCTGTGCATCCCCTATCACAGCACATGATGAAGTGAGCTTCTGAATGGTATTGTTCTAGTGCTATTCACAAGGCCCAATATAAGATCTGGACTTCGTAGGACATTAGAGGACTATGTCTACTTACTAAGAGCCTTGAGTTGAATTCTGCTGCTGTTTTGCCAGAGTAACGTCTGGAGTAAACTCTAGACTTCTGGAGTGCATCTGCACAAGCGTGCATATGGAGGGGAATGCATTTCCCGTGGAACAAATAGCAGCATCAGCAGCACTGCTGTTGCTGCTGTTTGTCTCCAGACATGCCCCTGCATGCTCAGAGGAACCCAGGTGGGGTAGGGAAAGCTGAGGCTGGCACCTGTGCTGGCCCCAGCAGCCTTACCTGGGGTTTTGGGGGGTCTCCCAGGGCAGCAGTGGCCCTGAGCCAGCTGCTCCAGGCCTGGCCCACAGCTACGGTGTGGCTCTGGCTGGCCAGGCTCTGGTTTCTGGTGGGGCATGCTGCTGCTGCATACACCACTTCACCTTTTTAGCAGCATTTTTTTGATGCCAGGATCTCCCAGTGTCAAAAAAATTAGCAGTGCAGCTCATGGCTTTGAGATGCTGCAAATTGCATGTGTATACTTGTGGGGATGCGCCTCTGGAATTTATTCAAGCTTTTTTTTTTTTTTTTATGGGAATTTTTCATCCTCCAATCCAAATCAGGCAAATCAATTCCAAATCTGTGAGTCAGTCAAGAACCTTAAGTGGCCCTACTACCAGCAAATATCCTCCACCACCCCTGGGGCTTCAGGTGTTTCCAGATCCCTTGGCAGGGATCAGCAGTCTTTTACTAATGTGGGCCACAGCTTGTGATCTACCTGGTGCTGCAGGCCTCTGGCCAGAGCAGCCACTCCAGCAAGGTGAGCAGAGGCTGCAGTGAGGGAGGGCAACCCTGCAGGTGGTCTGGGGCAGTGGACTGGGAGGCAATTCGTATGGCATTAGCAAAATGTGGACTGAATTAAACAGCTGCGGAATTGGTTCACACTTAATAAAAGACCCTGCATTTGTATGAAGCAGAATTAGGGTTTGTCTCTCTAGACTGTAAGCTGTTCAAGATAGGAACTCATCTTCATAGGTAAATGATGTACAGTGCTTTTGGGTTTTGCACAAATACAAGCCATTCCAAGTGGAAAAGTTTTGGTGACTCAAAGTATTTTGGGAGAAGCATACTGGTAGTTTGTAAATTCTGTAGCCTGACTTATTGTTATATTAGGAAAATGATACTGAAATAACGTGTACTGAAAGTGTTTTTAAATTAGTAGAAGAGTATTTCCAACTGTCTGTTTTTCTTCATCACAGGGACTTATGTGCAGAGAAGCAAACAGTAGGTGCACTTCTGACTAAATATGCTCGTTCTTCCATGCAGAATGGTGTCAAAGTTTATAATTCTAGAAGACCCATCTCCTAGCAGGAAACAACTTTTTTAAAGGATTAATAATTCTGTATAGAACAACTACCACTTTTGCTCCGGACCTGAGTTATTTGTAATTATTGTAGCAATCTCAATCTATGTCATTGTTTTGAAAAACATTTCAACTAAACTAAGGCTTGTACTAAAACTAAACAAATGGATTTTCTGAAGCTTTTAAATCTTTGCAGAAACAGTTACACTTCTCTCTCATCAGAAGTGACAGAATAAATTAGTGGCTGTCACTTAACCAAGAAATGTGTTGATATCAAATGGAAATGTGTTTTGTCTTTTAAATTCAAAGAGCAAAATAAATCTAACTGGTCTTTTGCAAAATATTGGCACTTATCCTTTTTTTTTTTTTTTTTTTTACCCCTGAACAACTTACATATTGGTAGAGTCCATATAAAATGACTAGAGAAGAAACAAGTAATTTCCTCCAAATTAACTGATAAAATTAGGTTGTTTTGTTGTTTGTTTGGGGTTTTTTAAGAGTCTGCTATCATTACACTGGGCAAATGTACTACTTCACTAAGTTTTACTACTTCTGCTACTTTAAACTACTTACTTCAGAAGAGACATTACTTGATTCATTGACTTCTCTCCAAGCGAGATCTTATACTTAAAGGCATAAAATTTACTAATAGTCTTGGGGTCATCTCTAAGCAAGAATGACAATATGTATGGGGAAAACCACAGAGAAAATCTATGCAAGAGCTAGGATTGGAATATAGGTATTGCTGGTCTTGCTCCCAGGTTTAGTTCAGTAGGTAACACATCCTCTTGTGCTCAGAGATCATCCAGTTTGGCCAAAAGAAGTGCTTACCTCTGCTTCAGGCAGCTGACTGATAAACCTTGAATAAACTTGAGTCCATAGTTTTCAGGGATTCCAAAGCTAGCACTGGGTAATTGCAGGAGGACTGATTAGCTGATCATCTGAGGAGCTTTCTGCCCTCATTGGCTGCCATCCCATTTGATCATACATTAGATTGTATGGGTTTAAATAAATTACATATTTCAAGGCCAGAAATAATGCTTTGTTTCTAGTTACCAACTCAAAATTTTTCTTTACATTTCTACGTAAACCCCAAGGTTTATATTTGGAGGACTTTGTTCTCTTTAATTTAGTGAAAGTCTTCATGTCTTTTTAAGTTCAGGGAATATTTTATTCTTTCCATATTCTGTTCTTTATTTTTAAGTTCTCCGGTGTCTAGTTGCTATTCATTATACTTGTATTCTTCTGACTGCAACGCTGATCCTACTGCTAGACTCCCATGCCCTCCTGCTACACCTATCATACACTTATTTAGTCAGTGCTGGGGATGGGATGGGATTTAGTTGCCAAAAGGTACACTGATAATTAGTTTTTAAAGTGATCCCACTCAGATTCCATTTTTTCAAGTATCCTCCTTTTCCATATTGTCTGGGGTCTAAGTTTAAGTTTAGGATCAAATCCAAAAAAAACCTTTATTGGAATGTTCATTAACTTTTCTATATCATATATTATATATAATTTTGTATAATTTGTTGCATTTTTGTTGTCTCATTAGTCCTGTAGTCCATTAGAATTAAATGTACATCTCTTCAGATTTATAAACCAGTCTAGCCTTCAGTGAAGTATTGGATGCACTGTCAAGATGGTCAAGAAGGTCAATTCCACAGCTGGGTTAATGTTTCTAGCTAAAGTTAAAAACAGTTTGCAGGACTGTGAAATAGGAGCTACATTACCAGGAATAGATAACAGACATCAGAATTTCAGAGGAAAGGATAGCGTGATTAGTAGAACCATTAAAAGGAGAGAGGTTCATTAACACTTATGGAATGAAGAGTTTAGAAGGAATCAAATAGATCATAATGAGCCATGAAGTCAACTAACTTGTAACTAGTATAGTCACCTTTTTCCTCAATTGTGGGATTATGGGTTTTTGAAAATTGGTCTTAAATATTCTTGAACAGTTCCCAATGACCATTTATATTTCTGTGTTCAAATTCTTTTCTCCCAGTTGATTTGGCTCATAATCATTTTCATTTTTGTTCGTGGGCCTTTTTTTAAAGTATCATATTCAATTATATGACATCTAACACATCATGTAACCTGCCTTTAACTGACGACCTGCATTCCTTCAAACATTTCCTTCCCTTCCCACCCCACCCATCTCAACACTTTGTCCTCCAAACTTCTACTCATTCGCATCTTCACAGAATCCTGCTTACTCTAGCTTCTTTTTTACCTTGGAGAACTCAGAATAGCAGCAGAGTCTCCCAATGTCTGAGGAAGAGTGTTTGTGCCTGAAAGCTTGCAAAGAGCTTTTTTCCAGCTATTTAGTTGGTCTAATAAAAGATACCACATCTACCCAAAGAACTGTGCCTGCATATGTCCTTAGAGCAACATGACTGCAGCCCACAACCCTGCATATTCACATACGTGTGTATCTCCAAATAACATCTGGAGGATACAGCTGGGCAGACTTTCAAAGAGCTATATAGTCTGTCCTATATAGTCCATAAATTTATATATATAAACTTTTGTTATACCCTGACAAATCTACTAAATACATGTGAACTGAAATGTTTGGAGGCTTACCTGGCTAAATGTGGACAAATTTTCTTGAGGATAACAAAAGACACTTGCCTGGCAGGAAGACACTCCCTCTCTGTTCCGATATAAAACAGAAATGGATATGCATTGTCTAGATTTGTGGAAGTTGATCTTGATGACAGTAAGCTGAAACCTCATACTGATTGCTAACCCCCTCTATATTAAAGATATGTGAGATGTTTGGATACATTGGTAACGGGAGCAAATACAATACAATAAACTAGAACTCAATAAATTCAGTTGCTGCATCCACAAAAATACCTCCATAAAAATGCATGTTCTGTTTACAGTATTCACGTGCTGTAGGTTAAAAAAAATCTCTAACATCACATCATACCAGTGGTTGGCAACCTTTTTTGGCTATGGGCCAGGATGACTCGCCTTGGTTCAGACGTGGGTAGCCAGTGCTTTTTCCCTACAGAGCACCTGCAGCTGAAGCCCCTCACTGCTGAATGCTGCTGAAACCCCACATCTATTGTTTGGATCCAGAGGCTCCACAGGCCAGGTCTGGCCTGTAAGCTGTAGGTTTCCAAACCCTGCATTATACCCCTAACAAAGAGCTGTTTAACAGGGCACTGTACATATCCAGTGCATAGTATTTAACCATCCAGAATACAGCAGAAACATCAGTCACTGCAGAAATCAACTGAACCAATAGATCCAAAAATCTTTAATGTGTGTCAGTGTCTTTCCACTTGGTTTATTTTTAAGGGGAGAGGTTACTGCTACATATTCTGAAAAACATGTAAATGCATCAAAGCTAATTTAGCTAAGAACTTATTTAGGTTCAGTAAGTGTTTCAGAGCTTTTAAAAAGTGAGCTTTCTTTCAGGAATATGATGGCATGCTGATGCCTCTTTCCGCCATAATATGTACTATGAAAAGTCAAAGCATCTTATCTTGTGCATCTTCTACCCACATTGGGAAATGTTGCAGGTCTTCCTTATGATATTTCCTTGCCTTCCATACACACTTTACAGAGCAGTGAAAAAATTTCTTGACATCTGAATTAACATTAACCTGAATGAGCCAGTTTCTGACTCTCAAAGCTCTTTGCAGACTTGGGCTGGTATCTTTTCATTGGTCATATCAAGAGAATTTTCAGAAACCTAAGTAAGCCTCTGAGAACTATGGACTTTTTAAAAAGAGACCTTGCAGAATAATTTAGGTGTCTACGCTTTTTCACTTGCATCTCACCTTGTCTAGACTCCTTTAGAAAAGGCTGGACTCAAAAATAAGATGCCATTCACAGTCAGGAGTTGCAGCAGTCCCTTGGTATGAGGATGACAGTCTTCCAATAAATATGGAAGCCATTAAGTCGATACCTGACCAAGGAGGCCAATCTGAATGTTCGGCTGCAGCCATGACCAATGGTTCTGGGAGGAAGTAGGTCTGGTGATGTCAGATTACAGCTCTTTCCCTTTGCCTTTCTTGTCTGTCTGCCTCCATAGTCAAGCAAACTTGCTCAAAATGATCTATGTCTTGTCTTGGATCACAGTGCCATTGAGAGTAATTCAGTGCTCGGATCTCCCAAGTATTCAGATCGCCCTTCAGGATGTCAATCTCTTCTTTTTGCCCAGGTAGCTGAGAATCCATCATAGAGCCAGTAGGGGCACAAGCTGAGGGCATGGCAGCCTGGGTACAAGTTTGAGCCTGAACACTTTCTCTTTCAGGTCAGGGGTATTTATAGGAAGGGGTGAAGGGTCAGCTGGCCCTGGCTAGCCATTCTAGCTGCAGGGAGTGGGCAGGTGGCTAGGTCCAGATAGCAAGTTCTGACCATCTGTGTCCACCCCAGTGCTCAGCTGAGGAGGTGGCAGACTGGGATGAGCGGCTGTGCTGGGCAGGTCTAAGTCCAAGGCCACAGCCTGATACCTATGTTATTTCAGCTTTGGAGTTTCTTTAATTGTCCACCAGTGTCTTTTTTTTCTTATGAAGCATCCCTTTACCTTATTCATTCAGTTATGAATAAAATCACTAACAATCCTAGAAAGATACATAGAGTATTTATAAAAAGAAGTGCAATAGTCTTTATTATTCCATGTGTCCATAGAACCTGTCACATCTCTAAAAGTAATTAGAATATTCCATAGTTCCCAGATACTGCATCTCTCCCAAGTGCCATAAAAGAAGAATATTGACAGGTGGACACCTCAGCTAAAAATTAAGGGGATCATAGTTCCAAAATCAGATGCAGGATTCTTGTGACAACTTGTCAAAAGATGGCAACATATTCTTTCAATAGGGGGAGTGTCTGCTCTCCCTCTACAGTAGATGTACATTTTTATTAGAGTGGGCAATTCTTTCTAGCAACATAATATTCTAAATGAGTTAACATTCTTCCAGTGTTTCATGATTGCCATTTTTCACTTTGATCAAAAGAACAGCTTTGAGAAACTCATCTCTTAACTTCAGACACCGAACCCTTATTCAATGGATTGCTTGTTCCGTGTGAACATAGAGCACTCCTTATCCTATACAGTGATATGTTTTCGAACCAGCATAGGTAAGAAAGCTGAGAAGTATGGGTAGTTATATGGGATACTAGGATAATCCCAGACACTTTTGAATCACATGTCCAGTTTCATATGGTCTCTCCATCTACAGTGTATATTGTTAATCCTTTATCCATCACTTGCCTTATTTGCACAAGCTATTAGACAGCCTGCTATTGTAGATAATATTGTAATAGAAACATAGGGGTGTTAAAGACCTCCTGAGTTGCTGAATCGTCTCCTCTTCTGTCCCGGGTAATTAAATACAACAGGTGATCCCTTTTATAAACTTATAAAGCATCATCTTGAAGCTAGTTAGGTGGTTTGCCTCAGCTACTACAGTTCAAAAACTGTTCCAAAACCTCACTCCACTGATGCTTAGAAGCCCTTTTCTATTTTCCAGCTGAAATTTAGCTATGGTCAGTTTCTACTCATTGATTCTTGAGACAACATCATCCTGCAGCTTACACATCTCCACCCTTTCTGGTAGTATGCATTAATATAAATAACTAGCAGTCTAGAGCTTTTGTTATCCCCTTAAAGAGAGAAATCTTTCCTCTCTGTCTTAGTTTTGGAGGCCAAATCTTCCAAGCTCTTTCAGTTTCCTCTTGTCAATGACCCTCTCTTCTGAGCATCCTCCCCCGCCCCATCCCCCCCAACCAGTTCCAGTCTGAATTTACACACACCTTGTTTCATGAGCACACATTAATGACTTATACTGCAGACAACTTTCTCCTTTTCTAACCAACAAGTCCTTAAGCTGTAGCAGGAGTGTTGGTTGTAGCCATGTTGGTCTAAGGACATAGGCAGACAAGGTTCTTTGCGCAGATGTGATATCTATTAGACGCTTTTCAATTTTTTTCAGTACGGTAGCTCTCCAATAGGATTGTGTATGGTGTTAGATCAGGAAGCGATAGACCAAACCTTAGCCGTAGGTTGCTCTCAGAAAAAAGAAATCTTTATTCTTATAAGTATCTCTAGTTCTGTATCTCTTGTTACTCCCTTTTTTACCATGAGGGGGTGGCCAATTTGGGTTCTCATTGGCTGTGTCTGCTAGAGGGGGGAAAATGGTGATAGCATGAGGTGGGCAAGCCCTGGGCACTACCTTTAATAGGGGCGGCTGCATGTCAGGATGGAACAGGGCACGCCTCGCCCTCCCATCCCCTGCTCACTCTGCACTTTCTGTCTCCAGTCAGGAGTAGATAGTGGCAGTGGCATGTGGATCAGCAAGTGAAGGACACTCTGAGAAACATAGTCCTGCAGAGCACAGTGGCTGGAGTTCACTGCTGCTGGAGGGAGACATCACCCTATTTTTTGCTGAAAACAGAGATTTTCAGGGGCATTTCACATGACTGTCTGCAGCAAAAAAAAAAAAAAAGTGTCATTTCCACTCAGCAGCAGCAAGCTCTAGCCACCATCCTATCTGCTGCCTGCTGCCACTTGGTGGCAGTCTAATTTAAAATATACCTAACAAAAATCTTCCTCCTGTGTAATGAATATTCTAAAATTGAAACTAATGTTGTAGGTAAAATAAATAAAAAACATGTTAAACAAAACAAAATTGCTACCTTGTGGTTAGTATGGAGAACTTGTGTGATATACAACTTGCAGGTGCCTTGAAGCAAGTCCTTCCTAGCTGATCACATCTTTCGGTCAATTAGATTGTACTTCCCGGTGGTCTTGTGACTCATGCTGCTTTAGAAGGGCACTTCTATTCATGCCCGTCTTACCTGTGTCCAAGAAGATGGGTCTTGGCTATGGGGTGCAAATAAAAGTATTTTTTATCTTTAGGTGGGCTGGAATCACCAAAACATATCAATAATAATTTGTTTCTATGTTGTTGAGAGCACTTTATATATCTACAGACATGGAATCATAAAATCATGGAAAATTAGGATAGGAAGGGACCTTAGGAGGTCATCTAGTCCAACGCGCTGCTGAAAGCAGGACCAGCCCCAAATTACATTATCCCAGGAAAGGCTTCTTCTAGCTAGGTCTTAAAAACCACCAGGGATGGAGAGTTCACAACCTCTCTAGGTAACCTGTTTCAGTGCTTTACTACTCTCTTAATGAGAAAGTTTGTCCTAATATCTAACCTAAACTTCCCTGGCTGCAACTTGAGACCATTGTTCCTTGTTCTGTCATCGGCCACCACTGAGAACAGTCTAGCTCCATCCTCTTTTGAACTCCTCTTCAGGTAGTTGAAACCTGCTATTAAAGCCCCTCTCAGTCTTCTCTTTTCCAAACTAAATAAGCCCAGTTTCCTCAGCCTCTCCTTAGAAGTCATGTCCCCCAGCCCCCTCACCATTTTTGTTGCCCTCCCCTGGATTCTGTCCAATTTGTTCACACCCTTTCTGTAGTTGGGGGTGGGGAACAAAACTGGACAGTACTCCACATGTGCCCTCACAAGTGCCAAACAGAGGGAATGAATCATTGCCCTCAATCTGTTGACAGTGCTCCTACAAATGCAGCCCAGTATGCCATTAGCCTTCTTTGCAACAAGGGCACCCTGCTGGCTCATATTGATCTTACTGTGCACTGTAACCCCAGGTCCTTTTCTGCAGAGCTGCTGCCCAGCCAGTCGGTCCCCAGCCTGTACTGGGGGGGGGATTGTTCCCACCAGTGGGACTTTGCACTTGTCCTTACTGAGCCTCATGAGATTTCTTTTGGTCCAATCCTCCAATTTGTCAAGGCCTCTGTGAATCCTAGTCCTTCCTTTCAGTGTATCTACTACTCCCCCCAGCTTGGTATCATCTGCAAACTTGCTGAGTGTTGAATCTATCCCATCTTCCAGGTTGTTGATGAAGATATTGAACAAAACCGGCTCCAAGGCTGAACCCTGGAGCACTCTACTTGATAACAGCTGCCAACTACCTATTAAGCCATTGATTCCTACCTTTTGAGCCTGATGATCCAGCCAGTTTTCTATTCACCTTACAGTCCATTCATCCAACCTGTATGACCCGCACATGAACTTGGATCACAAACAAAAGGGTAGCCACTGGTGAATATTATTCTACTAGAACTTTTGTTCCTAGCAGTTCTAAGAGTTTTTGAATTCTCTTTGTAATGCTGGCCCAAATACATGAAAAAATTTACATTGTGCAAAAGACCATATATTGCTGGCAACAGTAACAATGTGTTTTCTTGTAGTATTGAGCCACAGGAAGTCTGTGCATTAAGGTGAGTTCAAGATGGGATGTGGTCCATGGTAAAGAGGGGTGAGAAAACTGAAAATTTAGCTTATATCTGTAGCTTGTAGCTTTCTTTAATGAATGCTTTTTTGAGACAGAGCTGTGATTCTCTATAACATGACAACAGCTGCTTGACTGGCATCCTACCAAGATGGTTGCAGCTATTCTTCAAGCTGATGGTGCCTATCCAGGTTGAACATTGTAACTTGTAGTGAAATAAACAGAATTACACATATTTGAACTACCATTCAAAATCCTCAAATGCTCTAAGATATTTGGTAAGCTGTTTGTTGACAGCATCTCTGTTGCTGTTCTTGACCCTCTGGATGTGGGAGATCATTATATGCATGGGGTGAGCGTGAAGATATAAATTAAAAAAGCGAATGGCAAAAAGAGATGCGAGATGCTGGTTTGGAGGTGGCAAGGACAAGCAATTTAAACTAGTTATGTAAGCTGGAAAGATTGGAATCAACACTGATAAATGGACAAAGACGACAACTGTGGTGGATGCATTTTGGAAGTGCTAGTTATCAAGGGAATAAGCAAGCCATGGACTGGTGTGTTCTATTGTGGTTTTTGAAATGTTAAAAAAATGATAATACTCAAAATTACTTAAAAAACTCCATAATTATGATTTTGTATGATTTATTACTAATTAATGCTTAATTAGAAATACATAGGTATAAGTCTAGAATAGGTAATACTAAGTTTCTATAATGCTTACCAGGCTAATGATGGGTAGGAATGTAAGAAGTGGAATAGATGAATTTCATATCTAACTGCATAATCAGCATAAATTCCAGTTGTCTGCCACAACAAGCATTCTAAGAATCAGAAACTTAATATATGCTATTTTTCTCTGTCTGAAAATTTTCTAATATTTCCTGGGGCTTATCATACCTCTAAAGCAGCTTGGCTAGAAACCTGGTGTATTTAAATCGCAGTCAGAGATAAATTATGTTGTTTTAATAAAGTTATAAAGGAACAAATGAACAGCAAAGCATATAAGCTGTGCATTTGCCATTTATGGGAAATAGTTTGAAAAGAGGAGGGAAAACTTTACAATATGTGGTAATTTCTCAGCCCTCCCTAGCTGGAGGCCTGGTATTGAGACATATGTAAATGACTGCACTCTTTGCAAATAAGTCTTTGTATACACACAAGAATATGTTTTATGTTAGTGCCACAGGACGGACAATGTACGCCAGCTAACGTGCCAACAGATCTGATGCATGTTTGTTTCCCTTAAGAAAGAAGGAACCAGATGTTTCAAAGTATGAGTTGCTTGTGATGCTTCCAATGTAAAAGAGTAAAAAAAAATGTTTTAACATTTCCTAGCCTAGTTTATCTGATGCTGCCTCTTCTTCTCAAAGTACACTGCCATCCCTTCCATGAGCTGCCCTAATAATTTGTTCTGTCATTTGCCTGTTTATGGAGCTCTGGTCATCTAATCAGGAAACAGTATTATTTAAAACAATGGCCAACCCCAAAGCTGGAATGACAAACACTCACATGAATAGTTGTAACCATCACTTTGTAGGAAATCACAGGCAAGTATGTTTAAAAAACAAAGCCCAACACCATGTATTAATGGACCAGTAGAATACTGGGTTAGTTACTAGTTAGTCTGTGACCAGACAAGAGAGCTACACTTTTCAGATGTGTAGGTTGTAGCTGTGTTGGTCTAAGGACATAGGCAGTCAAGGTTCTTTGGGTGAATCTGATTCACCCAGGGAATACCCAATTACCGGTGGGGGCACATTTCTCACAAGAAAACCACTCTGTCTCCAATCTCTCAGTCCTGATCCTCAAAGGGAACTTACAAAACACTTCTCAGAGACGAGCCTGTGAACTCCACTTCAGCAACCTCCTGGATACAAAAAATCATGGAGTAAATATAGACATTGGATTTATGGCACATTATAACCTGCCTGACATCTGAGTCCCCCAGTACCTCTCCACTGTCCATCCCCCTTCTCTCTGCCCAACCGAGCCTGTCTCTCATCCACTGACTCCTCAATCTACATCTTCACAGACTGCCTGTCTTGCATGTGGGCCAGCCCAGCCTCTGGCTTTACTTTTCATTCCATCCAGGAAGAGCGCACACCAACTGCAGAGACTTCCTCACCCCGACAAAGGGTTTTTAAACCCAAAAGCTTGCTAAACATTTTTTTCCAACTATTTAAGTTGGTCTAATAAAGGATATCACATTCACCCAAAGAACCTTGTCATATACCATTCAGATCGCTTTTCTGATGCAGTCTGCAGACCTCCATCTGTTCCATACGTGCCCTGAAACTCACCTTAGTTATTCTGAATATCCCCCAAGGCTGTGATTTTGTGTGTCCACTCAAGCCAAGCCAAGCCCCTAGGGTTGATGATGGAGGGACGAAGCCAGGCACTGCCTACCAGTTCCTACCAGTCCCTGAGTCTCACCTCCCAAAGGCGGGCAGCTGCAATCTCATCTCCACTTTCCAATTCTGTTCCGGGTTACTTGTCCATGGGTGAGGGCTATTTTCTTAATTCCACTCACATTCATCTCTTGCAATATTTACCATTAGAAGGTAACGGGATTTCTACACATCTGTAATGTATTTGTGTGTTTATTGTATTTATTTCGAGGTTTGCGCTCTAACATGACATGTCCAGAAATGTCCCACAGATTCTCCCATGAAAAACTTCCATTGCTGACCAGTGACAAACTGGAGATTGGGTAGTACACAAAAAAAGACACGTACATCATCCTGGCCAGTGACTACCAGACAGGAACGGGGTGTCCTCAATTTTTTTCAGACATCCATCACCCAAAGCTGCCTTCAATGTAGAAATGCCCGTCATTTAGACGAAGGAACATTCCCCTGGGATGTGCCCTGGCTTGACTCAAATCCGTTTATGGATGGGCGGGTGCGCTGGTGCTGGATACAGCCAGCCAGCCTCGCTCGCTGTGGCCTCCAAGCCCATGGCTTTGTTAAAAGGAGAGAGGTGCTCTCCCGGGGTGGGCTGGAATGGAGCTGGAGGTCACCAGGCCACTAAAGAGCATTCCCATGAACTATGTATGGAGTATTTCCCTCTCCCTTTTCACTGGGGAAGTCTCCTCCCGAGGGACAGCCACAGGGGATGGGGTGGGGGAGCTGCCCCACGGACCGGGGGGGCCAGACAGCACCGTTAACACCGAGCCCTAACCTTTCTGCGGTGCGAGTCGTTTTCTACGTGCCCGGGACGCAGCATAACTTAAACTATAAGCCCCGAGGCGGGTGTTGCTGCCTGGCTCGGCAGGGAGAAGCCCGGGGCAGGCGGGGAAGTCCCGCGCGGGGAGCTGCAGGTGAGGGGCGGCGGCCCCGGGAGCAGGGGCTGCCCCACCCCGGGCGGGGGCGGGGGCTGCGCCGCTGCTGAGCTCCGTGGCTCCTGTCACTTCGCCCCAGGCCCGGCCATGGAGGCGGCGGTGGGCAGCCTGCAGCAGAAGGCGGCCGAGCTGGAACACATGGCCGAGGTGCTGCTGACCGGGGAGCAGCTGAGGTAGGAGACAGCAGCCGCTGCGCGGGGAGGGGGAGCTCCGCGCTGAGGGGCGGCAGGCGGGGGAGGTCCGGGCGCATCCCGGCCTCTGGCTCGTGCGGGGCTGGGGCCGTGTGGACCCTGCAGGCGTGCGCCGTGTCAAGCCCTCTCCCTTCTGCCCCCTCTCCGGGGCTGGAGAGCGAGGAGGGGGTGCTCTGTGCCTTGCACATGGGAAAGGCTTGTCCCGGTCCGCCAGCTCTTTGCTTTGCAATTTGAGCAAGGGGCGGCAGGGAAAAATTAAAAAAAGAAAAAAAAGTCTTGGAGGAGTTGGATAAATGATGCTGCTGGACTGCGGTATTCACCCGGGCTGCTGCAGTCCGGAGGCAGATCGCTCTGCTGTTATTGAGGTGCTTGTCCTTCGGGCACTGTGTTGTAGCTGGAGGGAGGCAGGGGGGCACCGGAGAGACTAACTGCTTCAGAGAGGCACGAGCACATTTTCCACGCGCTACAGCCAACCCCATCATGGTGAGATGCGATGCATGGGCTTGCAGGGAGGAAGGGTGCAAGATAGAGAGCAGTCCTTTGAAAACAAAGGGTGGGAAAGGGAGAGGAAAGGAAAGAAGGGAGCGCTGCGGTGGAAACAAAGGTGGGTTGAGATTATGTGGCGGTCTCAGGACTTTGGAGAAAAGGAGAGAATTTGAAGAGGCAAAACGGAAAAAAAGAGCAATATTTCAAAATACTGCTTTAGACAGAATAGGAGCAATAAGGTCTAATAAATCTACAGTAAGAGCTAAGTTTTCTTCCATCACTTGGAGTCATATGGAACCGCGGAGTCTGTAAACATCTTTTGTATGATAGAAGATTTTTATCTTGAATCAGCTGATCCCAACTTCCCTATCCCGGCCAGAATAATTCACAGTGCTGTGACTCAGATTGTACATGCTAGAGAAACTGTTAAAAAAATTGCATGAGTCAGACAGTTAATTTTTAATTTCTGGTGATGTATTGAGAGCACTAGCTGTACCCATGCATTATGAACAGCAATAAAGAAGAAATTTTTTAAGCTTTCATTTTCCAACTGTTTACATAACTTGTTGCAATGAAGAAAAAGAGAATGCATGGTATGGGTATAAGCAGAATGGGGTGGGAGGACTATTTTGCCAGCAGTTCCTTAAATTGTTTTCAGCAAATATCAGCTAATTATTTTTAAATGCTGGATTATTGTTGGCTTCCATTTCTCATCTTGAAAGTGTTCCTTGATCTGGGAGCCACTAATGTGAGACCCCTAGTCTCTTGCTTTCATTTTAGTGGAAATTGGCTATTTAAAGAGTAACACAAAATCATGATTAAGCTTTTGCTTATATTTTAAGTTATTATATGTCCTGGGCAGTTAAAAAATACTCAGAAACCAGGAAGATTAGGGCTCTTCTTCAGTCTTCAAATGTTTTATGGTGCTGGTTCAGAAAATATTTTTGTAGCTTAGTAGCAGCTCCTGATGTTCAGTGAAATTCTTGACTGGTGTAAGTCAGGGCCCTGCTACACGTTCAATTTAAAGCTGGATAGAAACCTTTTATAGAGCTGTTACACATTTCCAAACACTAACTTTGTAGCTGGTTGGCTCTTTTTATAGCTGGATAGTCATTTGTATCATGTGATAAAATGGCTGGTCTAAATTTCTTGTGCAATGAATCAGGTAATTGAGTGATAATTACTTTGCACATGTGGCCAGTCTTACTTTGATGTGTGGCTAGTCTAAATTTATTGAGTGATTAACCAGTTAATTGTGTAATATATGTAATACACAGCAGGGACTTGGTGTAGTGCAGATAAAGACCTGATGCACGGTTTTAGGTTTCCTGTCCTAAACTGATATGCATATTTTTTTTTTTGGGAGTTGGTTTAGGGACCTATTTTTAAGTGTTGAGGCACCTGAAGTTGAAGTTAGGTGATGGGAACTGGGTGCCCTGGCACTCCTTAAAATCCCACTAGGTCCTTGCCTGCAGTTTAATCATAAATGTTTTTTTAAAATTGGCTTGTCACTGTTCCAGTAAAAGATGAAGGTTGTAAATGTTGCTGCTTGTAGTAACAATATGCTGCTTATTTGACAATGGCACCATTGGTGTACATGGTATTTTGACAGAACCAAAAAATCATGACTGTACCTGTCCTAAGAAGTCAATAGAGATATATAAATCCACCCTTTTAAATCTAATGGTAAAAGCCTGACCTAGGTTTCCTTTTTATTTTGCCCTCTCTGATGTCAACACTCATATCTTACTACATTTTCCAGATCAGATCTGTCAGACTGGCATCCTGTGGGCCTCATGCAGCCTATGTGAGGCCAACATGTAGCCCATGGGCTATATGCAGCCCACAAGCATTTAAGTTGTGGCCTGCAGGCCCCAGCAGCAGCCTCTCCTGCTGCCCTGCATCGAGGGAGTGCCTGGGGGCCTGCACAGTGCACACAGCAGGGGTCTACATGCCCCAGTGCAGCCCAGGCAGTGGGGTGGAGGGGCCTCATGTTGCCAGTGAAACCTGTGCGGGGAGGAGCAAGGGGGCCACGTGCCGCTTGCAGGGGATGGGTGGCCGCAAGCTGCCAATGTAACCCATGCAGTGGGGAAGATTTTGGGGGAGCTGCCCCCTGAAGCTTGTGGCCATGTGGCAAATCACCATACTATGTTATAATCAAATTTTTATTAGACAAAGTAGCACCATGGAGCACCAGGAGTCCATGTACTATAGTTTGGGAACCAAAGGTTTGGATCTTTTGTGAAACAGAGCAGATTTAACTTTACCTTGTCGAGAAAATAAGGGCCTCATAGTTTGTGGCAGCAAACTGGCTAGTAGATGCATTTTGTGGACTTGTTTTCCTTTCTGAGAAAATGTACAACTATTAATGCTAAATAAACCACTCACTTGGTCTCATAATCAAAGTATGAGTATGATGGAAGCTTTGAAGACAGACAAATACGATAGCCAATCTGCACATTTATTTGAGGGAAACGTTATTTCTATTCTTAGTGGTCTTAGAATGATGTAGAGGGACAGGTGATTGTGTGCATATGGGTTGAAAGTGCATATGAGAAAGTGCTACATACTTTGGGACTGCATAACTCAATAGAGTGACAGAGTAAAATGAAACCATGAGTGGGGTGTTGCTTGGGTATGTGAAAAGCCTGAATATTAGGTATTTATAGTGCTCTTGTGCTACATCGAATTGGGGTGTGCATGTCTCAGTTAAAATGGTTGTAATAACCTGTTGATTTAAAGATTCTTTGTCATATCTGAGCAGTGGTAGGTCATGCTACAAAACTTTACTAGCTAAAATAAAATTTTAGGCTCTGGTGGTCTCCTTCATATTTAGAAACAGTGGGTAGGTAAGTACATTTCTGACTGAGGTAACTGCTGCTAGTGTTCTCAGTTGGAGAAACAACCAAATGAACAGCACGCAGCAGTGATTCTCAACTGGGGCACCTTGAGATCCTTTCAAGGGTGTCCTAGAGTACCATGCAATGTTATCACTGTTAGATGTGAAAACGTGATTCACAAGACAAGTCTAGAGATCTCAAGTATAAGTCCATGGTATTAAAAACATTCTGACCTGTTGTAGTCTTTCTGAGTTCTTTGCAACAGAAAAACTGCTGTATTATTTTTCTGTAGTCAAAAAAAATGAGTGAAAACAAAGACCTGGCATTTTCCAAGGAGTGCCTCAAGTCTAACAAGGGGTGCTTTGAGTTTAAAAAGACTGAGAACCGCTGGTGTAGAGGATTCAGCTCTTTTCAAGACTAGGTTGTATCCATGAAGTTTTAGAAAATGCAGCCATTCTCCTCCTTAGCATCCAAATGCATATCCTAATAGTCAACTACATGAAATTTATGTCACTGACATAAATGGCACATCTGCACATGCAGTTAATGCACCTGAATTTTCTTTTCAGAAAACTCAGGCTCACTAAAGCTCTACCGGGCGCACATATACACATCTGCTCCTGCCCCTCTCTTCCTCCCCCTGCAGCAGCCAGGGAGAGCTCCAGGCTCCCCTGGGTGCCTGGCCCTGGGTGGAAGGAGGTACAGGGGCTGGTCCCAAACTCCACGTGGCTGGCAGGCAGCATCTCCACCCAGCAGGGACAGCTCTCCTGGCTACATAGGGATTAGGTCCTGACGCAGTCTCCATGTGGCTGGGACTCAGCAGTCCCAGCTTTCCATGTGGTGGTGTCTCCCCTATATCGGGGCTTGGCCAGGCAGTAGTGGCCCCCTGCTGCCTGGGCTGTCTGGGATCAAATTTGTCCTTGTCAGCATCTACATGTGAGCTACTGTGTAGCAACTAATGCACTGTTAATATAGTACCTGTATTTCTTGCTACTAGCAAATGGTGCATTAGCCTCATTTACTGTGCAGTAAGTCCCATGAATGTGTAGATGGCGATGCTTTATGGTGATTCTTTGCTGCGCATTAGATGTGTCTTGTGTAGATGCACCCTGAGTTTCCTACGTCCCTGCTGAGTATGTCTGAAGGAGGGTGTCATAACCATTTGCCAGATGTAGGTCGGACAGTATTAGGGATATGAAAGGTTAAACAATTGTTGAACCAGTAAGTTCAATGATAGTTATTTAGTTTAATGCTTATCCTTTAGCTTAAGGTGGGTACAGTCTGGCAGGGAAGGGAGGAAGGGAAGCTGTGTGGTGCCCCAGCTGGAACTAGAAGGCAGCAGGGCAGGCAGGAGAAATTGAGGGAGGAGGGAAGGGGGACTAGTACCCATAGCCTAAGAGGAAATTAGCCAGTAGACTAATGACTCATCAATAAGCAGTTGGCTGCCTGTTCACAGGTGCCCCCTCCTTTCCAGTGTAGGGCTTCATGTGGGCTGTGTTGTTTGGCTGGGCTTGCCTCCTCCCCACTTCCCACCAGCCAAAGGGCTCTGGGAGCGGCTCCCAGCAGCAGCTACATCTGAGCTGCTGTGTTGTTGGTTAATCGTTTAACTGATATAATTAGAGGAGGTTAAACAAATATTTTTTTAAAAACAATATT